GTCGATTCATGCATGCAAGGAATATCCCTATTGCGTTCTGGGATCGAGTTTTTATGTATGCTTTTGAGATTCGCAGTCACATGGCACTGGGACTTGCAATACAAGAAGGAGAATGTGGAGCCACAATCGTTTCTGGCAACACTAAAGAGATCTCTCACCTGGTTGATTTTGCTATTTGGGATTGGTGTTGGTGCCTTTCACCTAATCGCTCATCTAAGGATGGGAAACAACTATGTTGTTGGCTTGGTCCGAGTTTTACTATTGGAGCAGCTCTTTGTTTTGCTGTTGCTATTGCCAATGGACAAGTTCTACAACGATCGTCAGTGATTCCCTTATCAGCCGAAGAACGAAACAGTGAACCAATGGAAGAGAAGAAGAAAGAATTTATGGAAGATCTGAAGAAGAATCTGGAGAAGAAGTCTGATGGAGTTTCTATCTCTGAAGAAGAACTTGATCGCATTTGGCATAAATACAACATGCCAATCTCTGCAATCGAAGACGGTGGTTACCCGCAGTATGCACAATATGAAGATCACCCACAAGAAGATCCTTGTCACAAGATTGAAGATGATTTTGAAGAGCCGCCAGATCAAGAATCAGATCCTGTTGAATTCGACAAATATGTCTCTGCAAAAGTATCGTTTAATGCAGATGGAGTTGAGACTTTCGGAGTTGTTCAAGGTCGGAAGCGTGACTAATCTGGAAAATTGATTGGTCACTACCACGAGAATCCACACCTTGACACATCTATCTATCAAGTGGAGTTCGAGGATGGAAAAATGGAAAGCTTCTATGCAAATCAGATTATTGAAGGGATAATGATGAATATTGATGATGAAGGTAACACGATGTACCGGATTCGCGAATTTATTGATCATCAACGTGATGGACGAGCAGTTAGAGGGGACGATGGATGGTATACTACCTCCAACGGTCTCAAGCGTCCACGAAAGACAACTAAAGGATGGAAATTATTAGCTGAAATGAAAGGTGGAGAAACTGAATGGCTTGATCTATCAGTAGCAAAAGAAGCGTTTCCTATCGAGGCCGCTGAATATGCTGTTGCAAACAAGCTTGTGTCAGAGCCTGCCTTTGCGTGGTGGGTTCCCTACACTTTGAGAAAGCGTGATCGAGTTTTGAAAGCTGTTAAGCGCCGTGCTGTGAAAAGACAGAAGCCAGAAAAGTTTGGTATTGAAGTGCCTGGTCCTGGTCCAAAAGGCGTTGCACATGCGTATGAACTTGATGCTCAGAATGGTACCTCACATTGGAATGATGCCTTGATCAAAGAGGTCAAAACAATTCTACCAGCTCTGAAGATTCTGGAAGAAGATGAAGATGTTCCAGTCGGATACCAGCTCATTGAGCTTATGACTGTTTTTGATGTCAAGATGGACCTCACACGGAAGGCACGAATATGTGCTAGAGGGGACCAAACGGATCCTCCAATGTCTGTCACCCATGCAAGTGTTGTGACAAGGGAAAGTATTCGACTTGCTTTTGTTATTGCTGCTTTGAATGGTTTGAATGTTTTGAGTGCTGACGTCTCCGGTGCATATCTGAATGCCAAATGTGCGGAGAAAGTTTATTGTATTTTAGGGAAGGAGTTTGGAGAGTATGCCGGGAAGAAAGCTATCCTGGTTAAGGCCGTTTACGGACTCAAAAGTTCCGGATTCGCATGGAGGAGCCTCTGTGCAGACGTTTTGAAGGAACAATTGGAGTTCCAACCATGTCGTGGAGATATGGATGTTTGGCGTTGTCCTTGTCAACGCAAAGATGGTTTGAAATATTATGAGTATATTTTGGTTTATACTGATGATGTCATTGCAATCTCGGAGAATCCAAAAGCGATTATGGACAAACTCAACAATTTCTTTGTTTTAAAGCCTGACTTGATAAAAGAGCCAACCACATATCTTGGTGCAACAATCTCCAAGCACAAGTTGGATGGTGATGATTATTTCACCTGGGCTATTGGATCTGAAGCGTATCTACAAGAGTCATTACGAGTTGTCAAGAAACGAATTGCTCCAATGCAATTGACTTTGAAGAAAAAGGTTTACTCAACTTTACCCACTGGATACAAGCCGGAACTTGATTCTACTCCTTTTGTCCATGATGATACTGCTATTTTCTACATGCAACTCATCGGTATTCTGCGCTGGCTTGTGGAACTTGGTCGTATCGATGTCGCCGCCGAAGTGTCTATGCTCTTGTCTTACAATGCAATACCTCGTGAAGGTCACTTTCATGCTGCCTTACATATTTTTGCCTATTTACAGAAGCATCCTGATCGTGTACTTGTGATGGATTGTGGTTATGCTGACCATCTTAGACCATTAAAGAAAGCTGATTACTCACAGTTCTATGAATTCACTAAGGATGAACTCCCAAGTGACATGCCTACACCTCTTGGCAAAGCGGTAGAGTTCACTATGTTTGTTGATGCATCTCATGCTGCTAACGTTGTTACTCGTCAATCAAGAACAGGAGTATTGATCTTTGTTAACAAAGCTCCTATTATCTGGTATTTGAAAAAGCAAAACAGTGTCGAGACAAGCAGTTTTGGTTCTGAATTTGCTGCTCTAAAGACAGGTGTTAAATTACTTGAGGGACTACGATTCAAGCTCAGAATGATGGGCGTCCCAATCCAAGGTTATTGTCATACTTGTGTTGACAATATGTCCGTTGTCAAGAACTCAAGTGTTCCTGAATCTCAATTGAAGAAGAAATCGAACGCTGTCGCATATCACTACGTTCGTTCCAGATGCGCAATTGATATCCTACAAATTCAATGGATAATTTCCGCTGAGAACTTGGCCGACGTTTTAACCAAGATTCAACCTGGAACCGTTCGTGACCGTCTCTTATGGAACACATCATGTGGAAAGCAAAGCGAAATGGAAGACTTGCTCCTCTGATTTAAATTTTTGGAAACGTCTTCATCCGTCGTCGGATATTGTCAGTCTTGGACAGTATTGGATGATAGCCCAATTCGGAGTACAAGGCTCTCTGCTACATCAGGATCACCTTGAGGGGACCATTAATTGGACCAGAGAGTGTCCGTCATTCGTACGTTTAGATAGTTTAACCTAGAGATTCGCACACATCTTGCAAAATCCCCATGTTTGTCATCGTACTCGTTTTCGTCCCAAATCTCTCGTACCTCGCTACTCAATTTATTAACGTTGGGAAGACTTGTGCATTGCAAAAGCTGGTACAATTGCTACACATTTGAAAAGGCGGCCATCTTTCTCTTCTCTCCAAGACAAGACCAAACACGGCCAAGACCTAGCATTTTTACTTCTCGAAGCAACAATCAACTCCAGCGCAACTCTTGATAGACCGGCCGATTCTCTCAGCAAGTGGTAAGTAACGCAACTATGCAAATGTTCGAACAAATAAAATTCAGGGATACTCACACAAAGTCCGTCTTGCAGCTTTGATTTTGCACCTTTGATAATTGATTAAACCATGAAATGACTTATGATTCGGAATGCATGCTGAATGAATGCTGGATGAAGACTGTATTGCGGAGGTTCAAGAGATTCTTCTAGATCTTTACAGTAGGTGTGAGTAATTCTATTTTGATCGAATGCAATTTGAAGCAACTGATGTGCTTACAGATGTCTTGATCATTTTTAGAAGTCAGCTCCGTTTCGGAATCAACTACTTTTGCAGGTAGACTACAGTTGCCTGCTCAGGATGTGAGTAATGATTGTTGTTGGATTCCCCGCTATTTTGACAATGATCGATTCAGAAATACTCACAAATTTCACTCTGTTATTTAGGAATAATTGTCACTTGAGATTCAACAACATCCGCAAGTTGACAGTGGTGCCCATGGCTGATTGTAGGAGGGAGGGCATGGATGGTTGGTTGGTTGGTTTGAAGCGATGCAAACAATGGGAAGTTCAGTGTGAATAGATAGGATGGCAATAGTGGTGACAAGAAAACCAATAGATGATAATAGAAGTGGTGTGAATTAAAATAGCAATGCAATTGACGATATTATAACCTAATTTGTGTGATTAGAAGACATGCACTCAGTGACATTATGACGTTTTGCATTGGTTGTGTTCACGTGAGAAACGTGATTTTGTCAGCTACTGTATGCTATTTGATAATTACAGCTGAGCGAGGTGACAATATCAAATGTAAAATACGTCGTGTAGCGATAGACTTACTAGGAAGGTGATGAGGACAAAGGAAAGTGTATAGTCGTTTGGAAAAGGAAATCTAAAAGAAGTGATGATGTGTGTGGTCCATCACCAATCCTGCACGTTACTGCGTACATGTACAGACGATGCGTGCGTATCTAATAGCATGGTGACCTTTATTTGGTCCCCTCAACCTAAGGATATATATATATCCCTTAACGCTTTAGACGATATAATATATCTGATAAAAAAAATTCCACACATTTCACGCAATAACTTCAAATACACCTTTTACTGCCATAAATAAGTTTAATGCCAGTGAAATAAGGAATTCA